ATTTCTGCATTTCTGTTCCACAGGGTCCTTTGAAAAGGCTCACCACAGGTGAGGAATGCAGAATGCATCTCAATTCTGGCCCTGTTTGATGACCCAAATTATGTCATAGAACAGAGGGTATTATCAGGGTCACTGTTCATTTTGTGTACTTCTCTGGTGTTCTGGTGTATTTATTTGAGGGATCTTTGATTTACAAGAGTGCAAATTTTTCTAAGGTTTTTGTTTGGTTGTATTTGGAGTCATGTCCTATGGTGCTCAATGTTTGGGTCTATTCCCAGCTCTGTGCCTGAGATTGCTCTCAGCAGTACTTTGAGGTAACAAGTAGTACTGGGGATCAAAGTGGCCCTTTATTGTTATTCATTATCTTGCTATCAGTTCATTTAATTTACAGTATTGTCTTGTGTAATTCTACTTTTTGAAGATTAGTAAATACAAGGAACTTCCCCCTGAAAATTTACTAATATGGACATTTAGATTAATATGAAACACTAAAATACATTCTATATATATATATAGACAGGCTTTCTAAAATTTTGAGATTCATTTTCTCCAGAAATCCTGCAGTGCATTTAGTTGCACTTTAACATTCATTATCTGCTTTGAAAATAAGTCTTCTTGTTTAACGTTTGATCACATACATATTTCTCTGCTTGAACATTGAGAAAAATAGTGATGTCGGGGTTGACCAAGCTGTGAAAATCTTCGAGTAAATGAGGAGAAGAAAGTAGACTTCTCCATTTATTTAAATTTATTCTGTTATAGGAATACAAGGCACTGTCTCTGTTCAGTTTGTACTTAATTAGGCCTTTATTTTTATTTACTTATATTAGTGTAACTCCTCCTCAAGGCCGTGTTTGGGGGCTATCCCTGGCCCTGTTATCCCCAGCAGGGCTAAGGGACCATGCAGTGTTAGCGATGAGATCCAGGCCTCTGACATGCTTTTGCATGTGCCCTTTGAGATATCTCCAGGCCATGATATCTAGGTTGTATGAGTCATGTTTATGTCTTATTTACAATTTTCGCCAATTTGTCAAGTATAAACATTATGTCTTTCTTTTTCAATCCTTTGGTTCTTAGGTAGACAGGGAGTTTAAGGAGAAAATTCAGTAAATTATGAAGAAAAAGATACATCATACATTTAGACAGATTACTATGATAAACCTACTTAACACTATCTAATACTTCGATCATCAATTATGGGGTAAGGGGTTTGGACTACACCTGGTGGTGCTCAGGGTCTACTCTTGACTGCTCAGGGTTTTTTTCTGGTGGTGGTTGGGGAGAACCATGCAATTCTGGGGATTGAAATGAGGTGACCACATGCAAGGCAAAAATTTAACTCCTGTGGTATCTCTCAGGTCCTAATTATTTATTTTTTTACTTTTATTAAAAAGTTGCCTTTGCTTGGGCTGGGAATCAAATTTAGGCCGCATATAAAATTCCTAGCATATATTTTACTGCTGAGCCCCATTTCCGGCTGCCCCCATCAGATATGGGGCCACACTATCGATGTTGGGGTATTCTCCGTCCTGTATTTGAGTGATCACTCTTGGTGGTGCTGGTAACCATGAAGGGTTGGAAGTCAAACCCAGGCCTCCTGCATACAGCACACAACTTTTCGCACTCTCTCTCTAGTCCATTCTGGCCCCTTTTAAATGTTATTTTTATAATATCTTAAAAAGGACAGAAATCTTCTACGTGAGAGATTATGCAGATAGCACATCAAACCTTCACTTGTAGCCTGTCAGAATGTGCTGGCTTGAAGGAATCCAAGGCGTTATCTCCGTTTGGTTTGCACTTTGACCCTTAGACCCAATAGGACGCAGCTTAGACTTCCGGATTCTACAAACCTGACTCAAGGCCTCATCTTTTGTGTTTCTTGATCCCAGTCACTCCCTTTGCATTCCCTATCTTAACCTTTCAGTACTTCTAAATTTTGCATAGGGCATAGGCCCAACTAGTACTCATTTAATGTACAAAATATCAATACCGATTTAGCAGCAGGAAAGCAGATACTTTAAGAAGACATTTTGATCACCACCGTGTATTTCTCCAGCTCTACATTTTTTTCCAAACCAATAATCCTGTGTCAGAAGAATCATGGTTTTAAGTTACAGGCTAGGACTTTCAATTAAAGACAGACCACTTTTCCCTTTAGTGATTCAAATTAGCATTTCTCAGGAGGCTAAGATGGCAGCTCTTCTGACAAAGGAAAAGAAAGCAATTCTGATTTTCCTCCTCTGTAATATAGGTTGACTAAATGACAATATTTAGGAAGCACCATAGTATAGTGCTTAAAAGCACAACATTGATCAGTTTTTGTTTGTGACCTAGCAAGTGCTCAGAGCTTACTCCTGGTTATATACTCAGGGGGCACTCCTGGCATAGATTGGGGGACCATAGGCAGTATCAATATTTAAACAGGTGGGCTGCATGCAAGCTAAGTGACAACCACTGTACTCTCTCTTCAGTCCCAATGTGTACATTTGAAAGCCAAATTGTGTGGGGGTGGCAACCAGACCCTACCTCTGACCCAACGTTGTGATGCTGAGCAAGTTATTTTGCGTTTGGTGCCTTAGTTTCCAAATGTGTATGTAGATGGAAAGCACACAGATCAGTACTGGAAGATTAAAAGAAGCAAGTCCAGTGCTTAGAAAGATACCGGACACACTCCCCAGGAAGTGCTCGATTAGTTATTATTGGTGTCAGCTCTGGGTTTAAGTTGGAAAACGTTTACAGAGCTCTTAGCATATTGTGCCCATCATGTATGGTTGTTGATGATAACAAGCCTTATTTTTAAAAACTTGGATTTGTAGCATATACCTGGAGGAAGACAGTGGAATGAATACTAACAGATATTTTAGAGGAGAAATCAGTTACATTCTTTTTAATGAAAAAGGAAAAGAGACAAAATCAGGAAGATAACTTCTTTGGATGTTTTCACCTAGAAGTCCTATCTGTCAAAAAGGTTCTCCTTATCTCTTTGTCTTTGACTTATAAAATGTAAGAATAAATTGTCCAGGGCAGGAGGGACAGTTCAGGGCTTAAGGCTCTTGGCCTTATCCAGATCCTAGCACCATATATGGTCCCCTGAAGACCCACAAGAGTGACCACTAGGTCCAGAGTCAGGAGTAGCCCCTGAGCACCACCAGGTGGTGGCCCAAAGCTAGAAACAAAAACTGAGCTAAAATAGTCTCATGAATACTGATTAATAGCCCGGCAAGCCACCGAGAGTATTCGATATGCCAGACACAGTAACAACAAAGTCTCCAATGGAGACATTACTGGGCCCGCTCGAGCAAGTCGACGATCAACGGGAGGGCCTCATTAAAAACAAAACACCTTAAAAGCAACAACTGTGAACACTTACATAGATTCATCATATCTGTTACTGTATAAACAAAACAATTGATTTGTAGACTCTCAGATGTCAGGGATCATTTTTAAAACTTCTTCACCTCCCCCTTGAAAGCGGTGCCCATTCCAGGGAAATCATAAAGAAGGCATGAACACACAGTGGGTCATGTAAGTGTTATATGGATACCAGAAATTTCTTTTGAATGAGAAAACCTTGGATAATACTTTGCTTTAAAAGAGGAAATATTTCTGAATTATTTTAGTATATTTTATATACCTGCTCTATTTGTTCTTCTGTTGAAATTACGGTAATAAAAGTTTATGGATGGAATGGTTTTATATAAAAAGTCAATAGTCGAGTATATTTTAATGTTTTATTATTATTAATATTTATGATTTAATCTTCCTGGAATTCCACCTTTAAATGCTGTCCATGTTCTTTCTCACTCCTTCTCTGACGTATTTACCTCTCCTTCCCCTTTCTACACTGATTTCCCTCCACGACCCCCTTTAAAAAAAAAAACCCAATTTCTTTAGAATTTACTTATCCACTTAATATACATCTGCTGTTCTATTGATCTTAGCAGTACTCAAAAGGGGTTTTTATCAGCATACTGATATCTCAGTCAACATCAGCTGGGTGTTAAGGCTGGGACCAGGATAGGAGAGGAAAAACAGGCACTCCAAAAATCATTCGGATCACTCTCGTTTGCGTGGGTAAGGACATTTGCACGGGATCGCTGGCAACAAAAACACGAGGAGGAGTCGGTGCCAGCGTGATCACGGCAGCTGGAGGCCCCCTCCAGGCTGACTCGTCTGGGGACTTGCCCAACTCAGCCCTGCAGGCTGCCTTCAGTCCACTCCGTCCCTCCCGGGGGCGGCCGGGCGGGCAGGCGGGGGCGGGGTGGGGAACAGCGTTTAAGTAAGAAAAAAAAAAGTGAGCCTCGTCCCGACAGTCCGTTGAAATCTGGGGTGGAAACCGGGGGTCATCAAAGTCCCCGAATCCGAGATTGAAACCCAGGGCGGGGGATGAGAGGATCCCACTTAGCTCGGGAATGCTCCCAGATGACTCGGACACCTGCAGCCAAAAAATCCCCAGCCCGGACGGCAGCTGGGGGTGGGGCCGCGGGGCAGCGCGGGCGAGAGCAGATCGGGGCTCGATCGGGGGGCGCGGAGGGGCGCCCCGACCTCCCCCCCGACCCCCCGCCCCCGGCCCGGCACGGCGCGGCGGGTGGGCCGCGCGGGCCGGGCGCGCACGTCCCAGCTGTCACTCCGCGGGCGCGACTCCCGCCCGGGCCGCCCCCGCCGGCGCCCGGCCCCGGCCCCGCCAGCGCCCGCCCCTGCCCGGGCGGCCACCTGGGCGCGGCGGCGGCGGCGGCGGCGTCCGTTGGGGCCGTTTCCCGCGGAGGCGGCGGGCCAGGGCATGAGCGCGGACCCCCCCGGCCTCCCGGGCGGCGGCGGGAGCGGCGCGCGGCGGCGGGGGCGGCGCCGCGCCGGGGCCACGGTCCGGGCCAGCGCCCAGGCAGCGCGGGCCGGGAGATGCGCCCGCCCGTAGCGGCCCGGCAGCAGCATGCAGCCCGAGCCCACCGGCGGCAGCGGCGCCCGGGACCCGCGGGGCCGGCGGCGCGCGGGGGCCCCCGCCGAGGCCGCGGCCAGCCCGCGGGGCCCAGGCGGCGCGGGCCGGTGGATGCCCGCGGCGGCGGCGGCGCTGGCCGTCCTGCTCCTGCCCTCCTGCTGGCCGGCGGCGGGGGGCGCGCGGCCGGGCCCCGTCCCGCTGCAGCTCGGCGTCTACCTGCTCTGCGCCGCGGCCGCCTTCCTGCTGGGGGCCGCCCTGTCGCTCTTCTGCCGGGGCCGGCGCGCCCCGCCGCCCGACTTCGCCGCCGCCTGGCGCAGGCTGGCGAGCCCCGAGACGGTGAGTTGCCGGAGCCGGGGGCGCCCCGCGCGCCCGCGGCCTCGGCCCGACCCGACCCAGCCCGCCCCGCTGGCCGCCGGCGGGCGCGGGCAGCGGCGGCGGGTCCTCGCCGGCCCCCCGCGGGCGCCCCGGAGACGCGGCGGGGGGCTGGAACGCGCCGGACGGGGGAGGGGCGAGGGGCGCCCCCGGACCCTCGGGGGGCGCTTGCCACCGACCAGCCTCGGACCCGGCCTGGCCGGTCCACTCCCCCAAGTCTGGGCTGCCGGAAAATATTGCGAGTCTTCGGGGATGCTCCGCCGGGAGCACCGCTCGCTCCTGGTCCCTTGTAGCAGCTTCTAACCGCTCTCGGAGGGATGCAACTTTGTATCCGCGGCCGGAGGGGGAAACTCCGGCCCGGAGAGGTGAACTTGGCTTCGGCTGCCACCGAGCTGGTCTCCACTATAAAAAAAAAAATTTTTTTTTTTTCCTCCCGAGCCTTCCACCACGGGTGGACTTGCCTTCTACCACGTTGATGTGCAGCTCTGGTTAGCTGGTGGGGGCTAGGGAGGGGGTGTCAGAAATCACCCGTCATCTGCACCCAAAGGCACCCTGTGGCATGAGGGCGGCGGCTGGAGGAGCGTTTCAGAGGCGCCCTGCTCCTGGTGCCAGCTCACTTTCTCCCTTGAAGTGAAACTTGAATCACAGCTTGAGGCTCACCGGCTTGGACCCAGTTTATCGGCAAATTGAAGCTGCCCAAGCCCTTCAGGGGTGAGGGAGATGGCCCAGAGAGCAGTCTTGAGAATATTTGTTGGTGGTCGTTACTGCCCTGGGTTTGTACTTGCTTAGGGCATGATCTGCTTGAAAGTATCACACTCTTCACCCAAACGACCCTGTGCTGAGTCTCAGCAGTTCCAAAGGCCCTGTAGGCCAGAGGCTTGTGGCAAGGTAGTTAGGCCCCCTCAGTATATGAAAGACTAGGAATTTCTGTTGTAAGTACAAAATCAGTTTTTAAAAAATGAATAGCGAGTACTGAGCATTTAAAGAATTTGCCCTTGTCTCTCTGAAGATATTCTAGTAAGACGACAAATCTGTATTATTTATGCAGTGTTTTCTAACAAGTCTGTGCCGCCCTGGAAGTTGGGGTTCAGTTCATAGGTTACATACAAACCCTGCTTAGGGATTAAAAAATATATTCTTGCATTTTTTAAAAGCAAAATAATGATTAAAAGCCATGTAAGAGAGGCTGGATTTTTAGATGGAGAGGTGAGGCGTGGGCGAGTGTCAGAGGCATAGGGTTGCGGGTCACCTCTTGAGTGTCCCCAAGACTCAAGTTTGGGGAACCACTTGACTGGTAGGAAACAATTTCCGCAAACCTTTCACTTTTCCTGCACTTCTGTGTTCATAGAACTGGAATTAGCATCAGAGAAAGATGGTTTAGTCCAGGAATTATAAAAATAAGGATATATCAAAGGTGACAAAATGAAGAGGCACATTTAATACCAAACACCCTGAAGATTTCAGGTAATAAAAACAATGATGCATAATCTAAGAAAAGTAGATGCTTGGTCATTCTTTTTGAACCTGGGTCTTCTAATTGCCTTGACTAAGAAATTAAGTACATTAGGGAATTTATACTCCAAGACGTTCCTGGGAATCGCGTCAAATTCTATGTTTTATTCACACCACATTCACATCAAGTTTTAATAAGAGTGGTACACTCTCAAGCCTTTAGCTTGCATGCTGCATGCCCAGCAATTTATGTTGAAACTTAAAAAATGCTTCCTCCTTTGTGAATGGAAACATAAATAAGCATGTGGTGTAGTATAAAATATCCATCAGTTCCGTGGGGGTAGGAGCTGGACCACATGGGTCATTTAACATATGTGGCGGGGGAGGCTGTTTAGTAGTAAACCAAATGGTGTCTCAGGATCACAGCAACAATTTTACTACAGAAATTTTGATCCGGCTTGAGGAAAAGAATCCTCTTTCATTCCTAGAATTTTTTTTTTTAAATTCTGGTGCTTGCTGGACATATTCAACCCTGGTCGACTGACTGTCCATCTTTCTATCCTTCCCTTCCCTATTTTCTTTCTGACTTCCTTCTCCAGAGGGGGGAAATGCAAATCCTGTTAACATAGAGAAGCTTAAAGTAGAAGGGAAAAGGGGGCTTCATGTCAAGCCTTTGCAGGCTATGCAGTGTGACTTACTAGCTGTCCTCGATATTCATAACCACTGGCACTTTTGGTTAACTTGCGCCTGGAGATGCTCATTGTGTCTGCTGACGCTAATGGAGAAAACGAGGGAGGCAGGAGAGATAGCTTAAGTTGAGTGTGTGCAAGTCCCAGAATTGGATCTCAGCATCTCATTGCTTCCCTCTGCACCTCGCACTGCTATTCAAAAAAAAGAAAAAGAGGAGAAAAAAATGATGTTCATCTGTGATTCCAAACAGTGCTTCCTTTCTCTAATGGATTGTGGATCTTTAGGGCATCTCTGGTCGTCAAGGTTTGGATTTTACTTAGATGGGCCTCACTAGTGATTAAAGTAGTAGAAATAATTCTCCTCTCTAGTAGAAAGACTGTCCAGTGGTGTGGCTGAGTGACGTATGCTCAGAGGACTGAGAAACCATTGCGGAAGGTCAGGAAGGCCCAAACTAATCTTGACAGTATCTGTGCCGCGCCTTAGAGAATCTGGACTTTGTTGCCTTGTCACCACCCGGGAGCTGTCTGCTGTGCGGCCTGCCGGCTCCTGAGGCTGCAACCCTTTGGCCTGCCTTTGCTGAGCAGGGGGTCAGAGTCTGTTCTTAGGTCAAGAGTGCAGTTCGGATCTGCGGTTAACTCACCTGCACCAAAAGCCTCCAATTAATTCACTGGCTATAGCTAGTTGACTCTACCCTAGTACATGATCCGACCAAGGCAGTCGTAGGAGAGAGCCTGCAAGAGTGGACCCATAGTTCAGAAAAACCTCAGCACTCCAAACTGCACCCATCACCCCTTCCGCACCCATAGAATGCGCTCCAGTCCTTTGCGTCCTCTCCCCGGCCCCAAGAATAGTTTGCTTTAATTATTCTGTCGATTATAGTAATTTCACTGTCAGTTCCTTCTTGCTTGGTGTCCAGTAAGTTCAGAAATAAATACGGAATTTATATCTGAGGATTGGAGAACAGATCCAAGTGAATCCACAGCTGCTTAGCAATGTATGGGAAACAAGTGGGCCTCTCTTGCGCAGACAATTTTTTTTTTTTTGAAAAGAAAACATTTCAAAGTTTAGGTAGTTAGAAAAGTTCAAGAAAAATCTAAAAAAGTTCTTATCAAATCTAACTCATAGGCGTTTACTGTTAACTGCTATTTGATGTTGTTAAATATTTCTTTTGGTCTGGTTGCTAGTGCCAGCCACATAGGAGTTTCTCAGTAGATGGATTTTTGCCTGAATGAATGGATTATATTGTTGGGGCTGAAAGCAGACCTAAGTGTCCAGTGGACATTTTGGGATTTACAGTTCCAACCACAGTTTCCTAGAGAAGGGCTGGGCCCTTGCAGTAGGTGTCATTAAGAGCCCCACCGATTGCGTTCTGTAAGTGCTTTGGCAAGATTTGGCAAGGCAGGAAGGTTCTGAGATGAACAGGATACGCCCTGTCCCTGCCCTCTCAGGCAGAGTAGATTGGACTGACAGAGAAAACGGTCTCCCCCAGCAGATGTGTATAAAGAGACAGTGAAACATTCACACAGCAGCCCCGAGCTCCAGTGGCCTTGCTAGGACTTCTAGAATTCCTAAATGAGTCTTTTTACGAATAACAAGTGTTCTTTGAGTAAAACACACTTCATTTAGTTGCTTGAGGGAAAAAGGATCGGGACTTGAGACTGTACACATCCTCTTTGTGTCCTTGTTTATGTTAATGCGATTAAACTAATCTGTAATGATTTAATAGTAACTACATAGTACATGTGGCATCTTCGGAATATTTGTTGGCCTTCTAACTGCATAGAGGAAAGAATGTTTTTGAGGAAGATGACTTTTTGAAAACCCATTAAATTATAGGATCTGACTTTACTGGTAGTGCAAGAATTATTTTACTTTCAACTCAAACTATGAAAATTTTCCATATTTTTTTTGCTTAGAAAATTTTAAAAAATCACATTTTTCAAAAAACTTATTTAAAATAGAGTGAAAAAAATTCTCCCTTTTCTATTGGCAGTCATGTTAATAGTTGATCCTTTTAGATTCCTTCTTGCTGGTATTTTTTTGTTGTTGTTTTCTGGGCCCTCCCGTTGATCATCGATTTGCTCGAGCGGGCCCAGTAACGTCTCCATTGGAGACTTTGTTGTTACTGTGTCTGGCATATCGAATACTCTCGGTAGCTTGCCGGGCTCTCGAGAGGGGCGGAGGAATCGAACTCGGGTCGGCCATGTTTGTTGGCTGCGTGCAAGGCAAACGCCCTACCGCTGTGCTATCGCTCCAGCCCACACCCAGTGGTGCTCAAGGCTTACTCCTGGTTCTGTGTTCAGGGGTCACTCCTGGTGGGCTCTGGGGACTTATATGTGGTGCTGGGGATAGAATCCAGGTTAGCCGCATGCAAGGCAAGTGCCTCACCCTCTGTACTAGTTCTCTTACCTCAATTTTAATAGTTTTTTTTCTTTTAGATAGTCATTATACATTGATGAATACAAACATGCATTCAAAAAGAAATTGATACCTGTGATTATTTGATATAGAAACAGTGATAGTCATAAAATCAAAATGATTTATATCTGTGTGTGTATTTGCTATTTGTGTATTGCAAAGAAAGTATTTCTTCAGGTTAGTAAACATGAAAATTGTATATGCATAGAGACTTCAAAGGGGAAAGAGGCACACTTTCTAGTCTAGAGCAAACAAAAGCTAATCAAACTGAGCACATCCTTCTTAAGAAATCAAGAACATGTATAAGTGAATTCGGAAATTCTGTTTAAAGGAAGCAACGTGTAATTTCAAAACTTGAACAGAAACAATAAAAACAAGCACAGTGCTCCAAAA